TTAATTTAAACAACAACACATGATATTGCTAACATCTCCTACCTGTACCAGTATATTCTTCATTATTTACATTTGAATTCTATGTTAGAAACCTTGAGAGTGGCACAGGTGGAGATTTTTGAGCCCCTATGTGCAAAGGGACTGTCGTTTTGGGCTTGGACATTTTTGTCCATGTTTTGGGGCACTAATGCGAGGAATGGATTTTGTAAGTCGATGCAACTTTTTCACGAACAAGTCAAACCACGAAAACACAACTGATAGGCGGATTGATCAACAACATAACTCTTTAATTAACTAAGCATAAAATAAATCATCTTCTCAATACATACCTGTAGAGCGCCCCGACCAGTTGACCGCACTCGGTCCAAATTCTGCTTTGCCAAGTAGAACGCTTGCTGCATGTTGGTCATGCCTCCTCGGTACCCCACGTGACCGAGTCTCTTTATGAACTCGCATTTGTCCAGCTTCGACCCCACGTCCAAACTGATGTGGACCTTGGCGTCGTTTCCAAATGTGATAATGCCGACCTGTGCAATAAAATTTATTTATTTTTATTTATTTTTGTTTATTTGAAGACAAACAGTGGGTAATACAACCTCCTCCCTCATAGCTTTGGGTGTACCCATCCTTCGCCCTATTAAACGGTATAAGAACCAAAACGAAGCAATAACATGCCAATTGCCCGTTACTTCACCTTACATAGTAAAGCAGAATTGCTTTTCATCCTGGCAAAATCCTGGATCTCTGATATCAAATATAAATTCTGTTAACCGAACTCTGAGTACTCAAGGTTTACTTCACAAATTATTTATTTTGAAGTAAAAGAAAAACCCACCTTTGTCCTAATAGATATGCTTTGCTATGCTTTGCTCCTTAATAAATAAATTTATTTATTTATTTATGGATATCTTATCTAAACCGGACCAAGACCCCCATTTAATAGAATGCCATCAATCGTACTATATATTGAAAGTGTCTTATACTTTCTTCATCCCCCCGGTCCATCCCCCTTTCTTCCACACAGTAGAATATAAAGACCAAAATAAAATCAATTTTGAAGTAAAAGAAAAACCCTCCTTTGTACCCATTGATATGTTTTGCTATGCTATGCTCCTAAGTAAATTTATTTATTTATTTATTTATTTATTTATTTATTATCTTTCTCTTTTCCACAAACGGACATACACACATACCAAGCAATTTGCATCCATTTTCTCTTCCCCAGAAGTCCCTGTCCACCCACCCACCTACCGACAAAAACGCGCACCCCCCCCCCCCTCCCACACACACACACACACAGTTTTCAAACCCCTATATCCCTCACCCCCAAACCGGGTAGAAAGAGACAAACCAAGACCCCCATTCAACAGAATACCACCAATCGTACTATATATTAAAAGTTCCTTATACTTTCTTCACCACCCCCCCCCCAACTTCACCTTTCTTCCACCTAGTATAATATAAAGACCATACTCTACCTGTGTGTACTGTGGCGCCACGCTGAAATGTTCCAGTATGTTCTTGATAAACTCCAACTCCGACTGGAAATCCTTCCTGGAAAGGCTGCCAGACTCGTCTACCAGAAACATGAGGTCCACCACCTCCCTCGCCCGGCTGGAGGCGTAGTTCATGCTTCCCAGGATCTGATTCCCAATTCTCTGGACCGTGGATAGACCATTGCACCTGCAGAGTGACCGGTCCGAATAGAACAGGATGACTATTGCCGTTACCACACGGAAACACTCGATGTTCATTTTAAGCGCCATCTTACCAATTGCCTTCCAATTTTTATATCGACAGACGAATGTCAAATAAATCACCGTATTTGTCCTATATTTTATGTCTGTCACGGGGCACAGTCTGTTGTCCCTCAAACAGCTTAAACGCGAGAAAGAGAATGGAAAACTCTTAATCAGTATGCAGTGAAAGCGTTTTCAAAAACACTCTTAATATCAGCCGTCTCCTATGAAGACAGCCTATCCAGCATTGCGCAAAAATGTTGGGTTTAGCTTAAACAATAGGTCCGGGTTTGGAGAACTGTCTCCGAGCAGTTGGCCAATCAAATAGGAGATGCAATTGCCGCCTGGAAGCAGGGGAGACGGGTGGTACAGGGGGCTCCTAAAGGTTGTTCATTTTTGTTGACTTGGCCACTAAACTTAGGGAGCGAGGTTTAATCCGCTTATTGGCGCATGGGGAGGCGGGGAAACCATCAGGGGTTTAGTCGGCATTGCTTTTAAGTGGGTCGGCCATATTTGACCTGTGGATCAGTTAGTCCTCGGATCAGCTTGTTCTGAATGCGCTGATTATCATCTTTCAGTGGATGCTAATTGTCGGCAAGAGGAGACAAGCCACGTCCAATGGAGACGAGATTGACAGTAAAATAGTGCAGTGGCTGGTTCGGTGGTTCAGTTGGTAGAGTTCTCGCACGTAGAGTAGAGCGGGCGCCCCGGTGTAACGTAATTGAGGGTCTGTGTCACAGAAATACCTCCCTCCATATAGTTATAATGGTTAGGGTTAGTCTGACCTAAGTGGGTCAAAATCTAGGGCGAGGATCACCTGCACAAGTGAATGGGAAGCAGACTCTCTGTTATGGGGGACTCTCTGTCACGTTACACCGGGTTCCCTCCCGGTCGAGTCCGCTATTTTCCCCCAAATAACTTCAGTTACATTACATGCCGACCACTGATTGCCTACTAAACTTCCAATTTGCAACCACAGCAGTGTTTGTGCCTCATTTCTTGCCTTCTTTGTGCATCCAACTTTCTATTAGACCACTTTGGACGTTTCCTTTGGAAGCTAACAATTGAAGGGAGCATGGCGTGAACGTTCTGACCACCAACCCCTATACGACCTGAGATACGAGCTTCCAACTTCTCACGGCCCCACATAGGAGACACAAATGTAAAAATTATCAACAAAGAATATACATGATTGTCTTTATTCATCTATTTTGTTTATCATTTTTAAAAATTTTGATAACGTTGAAGGGTTAAATAATTCACTTCAGTGTAATAAAACCTCAAAACGAACTGAAAACAAACAATTCTGGCAATTTAGCTATATTTTAAATATCTTCAAGTGTTAGTCTAAGCGACATTGTATTAAACAAAGCTTTAAACACATAATGCCTAATTGCACATCTATTAAAAGTCAAATTATGTTTTCTGCTTTCTCTTCATATTGCGTTTAAATGAGCCAGCATGCTGAAATGAGATCCTGTTTTGTCATTAACCGCAAAATCCGGGTTTACAGTTAGTGGCACGTGCTGGGAACGGGTTTCATAGAAGAAACTGCCGTAAGTCGTAAAATAATCTGGACTTTTCAACGGAAAGCGTAGGTATACATTGATTTAAGATAAGTTTACTTTAGTAAAGCTAAAAGAGATTTTATCTGCTTTAAAAAGATGAGAAATGACAACGTAAAATCACCTTATTTTAGTGGAGTACTTAGGATACGCATGTGATCGAAATAAACTAAAATATTCTGTCTTCTAGTCCTTATTTGAAGCCTGGTCCTCTTATCAGGTTTACGCAGCTTTTAGCAGTACGGTAATTAATTAAAACTTTCAAACGCCTTACTTTTTCAAGATTTATAATTTTCAGAATTGCCACTTACAACACTGTAATCTCAGACACAAAGCCAACTGACCTGGCAAACTTTTCTAATCGTTTTGCGTGCTTAAAACAAGATATGATTTTGGGGGAAAGAATCCATTCGTGTTGTGCGAATGTATTTGTTGTGCATATTGTATACATCCGGGACTCAATCACGCGGTTTTACAAAGAAACTAGATGCCCTGGAGAGGTAAAAACAGGTTTTATAGGGGCTTGGAAACTTGATTCTGTAATTATAACTAAGTAAGGCAAATAAAAAACAAAAGATATACAGCAGAAGCTTGACATGTGTTGGTGCTTATCGAATTCCTGTTTCCTGCAGACTTTCGGAGAATCGTGTTGTACTGGCAGTAAACAGGATGCGATCACTTTGACTAAACTGCACCTTCACAGATATACATGAATAACATGCATCGAAACAAGGAAGAGTTTATTTTGTGTGTGTGTGTGTGTGTGTGTGTGTGTAAAAGCTTTTCTTCATAAATACGAATTCTGAAAAGGCGAAATAAAAGAACAGAGCACATATATCCAAGCGCAGAAACAATGGTTCTTATTAAAGTAACAAGAGTTATAAGTTTACATGTCTGGTGAAATAAGTTTTCATGTCTGGTGAAATATTTGTCGTGGACGAAATGGAGTTTGCCCTAAAATTCAGGGTTCAGTATGTTTTGCTGTTTTAATAATAGATATCAAAGATGAGATTATACCTCTGAAATTGAAGGTTGGTGGGTGGTCGGGCGGAGTCCAGGCGCTCGTCCAAGAATAGTATATTAAATAACTCACGAAAGAGAAAACAGTAAGTCTTGTGGAAGAGTCCCCAAAATGCACTTGTAATATCTAACGGAAAAGATAAATAGGTAACCTAGGTTTGAGGCCACTATTAGTCAGTAGTTTTTGGCGGATATTGCATAGTTTCCTTAAATCAAGAATCCATTACCATTTTAATCATTATTTTGGAAATTGCTTCTTCAACTGTATCACTTTTCGCAGAGGGGGTTTCAGTTAAATTTTCGAAGACGGGGTTTTAATTAAAATTTTTGTAGATCCGTTATCGTTAAAACTTGGTCGATAAAACCGACAAACTTGCAAACTCCTGTATGGATGAGATAATGCCAAAAAGATAATAAAATATTCGTCAACATATATAAAATAAACTTCTCCTTGATAATACAAATGACGGGGTGGTGTTATTTGTTTGAAAGACAGCATGCGCCCACGTGACGCCACGGTCTTGGTTAAGGCCACGTGAAGTGCGCGCATTTATGTCACGGGCATGTTATTGAAATAGTCCAATACAAGCGCAAGAAAAAGGAAAGTATTGCTTTATTATTAAATACAGTCACGAAGAAATGAATACGGTCGTGAAGTATATGATCATATACTTATTAAGTCTTAAAATTACAATAATGTAACTGTTAATTTTAAAAAATCTACAGTAAATAATTTGTTAGGAAATGTGTGAAAGAATAAATAATTTAAATGAAACGGTGTTCGGTTCCATACTTTTTAAGACCCCTGTCAAATCAATGCTCCAGTTAAGTTTTAAACTCGTCCGTATCCGCATTGCCTTTTATTGCTAAACTGTGCCGCTGCACGGCAAAGAGCGCCATAGATTACAACTCTCAGTTCACAATGCAGGCAGGACGTTTGCTGAATGTGTTGTTACTGGCTACGTTTGCCGTACTGGTAAGTCTCTCTCTCTCTCTCTCTCTCTCTCTCTCTCTCTCTCTGTGTGTGTGTGTGTGTGTGTGTGTGACAGAGAGAGAGAGAGAGAGAGAGAGAGCAGTATTATTCGGGTTATTCGAAAATGTGTTGTGTACTTATGTAGAAATGTTCAAACTGAATTTTAAAAAAATATTCACATGGGAGCAGTATTAAAAGTTTAAAAAAACAGTACTGAGAACATGTCCCAAGAATTTAGAGGACGTATTAAAATTGGCAACCAGGCGACCTTAGACCCTCTACCAAGGTCGCGCAGTGAAATTGTTTCACTGAATATTTACAGGTAATTCTCTGAATATTCACTAACTGTGCATAGTGTGAGCAATTTTGCTCAACAAAGGCGTTATCACTCAGCTGCTCACTGACAGAGTAACAATATCCGGTCTGCAGATAGTAATAGGGTGCATTCCCAGAGATTTAGATCGATTCAGAGATTTAGATTTAGATCGACCTAACTCCCTGGAGTTCACGCTAAATTGCAGTCAGCCGAGTGTGCACCATAGTTAATTACCCCCTTACAGCTTTTAGTAGGCGGGACAGACGCTTAAGCCGGCTAAGCTGAAAGTCATCTAGTGAGACTCCCCACAGGGATAGATCGATCTAAAATCTATGGGAATGGGGTCATAGACTTACCAGCGACATTTGTGGATCTGGTGAGCTTGCTTTTAAACTATGTCACGACCCGTCCACCCCACCCCCCAAATCCTCAACGTCAAATTATTGGAAATCCTAGTTCCACTTATCTAAAATGCGATAGTGGTCCACCCCTGCATGAGAAAGGGTCAAATTTAAGTTTGAGAAAATAATATAATTGTTTTATTGCAGTATAGGACGCCTTATTGTAATATAGTGTCATTTTAATACGTTAGAGAGAGAGAGAGAGAGAGAGAGAGAGAGAGAGAGAGAGAGAGAGGAAGGGAGATGGAAGGAGGGAAAGAGAGAGTGGGAGAAAGGGAGGGAGAGAGAGGGGGGCGAAGTGGAACTTTAGCAGTTAAATTGATTATTAATTATAGGAAAGGGACATTAAGGTTCCATACCCCATACTCCATATTTATATATAGTATACCTCTGTTTTAAGCCAACGGACATTGCACCCAAGCCGGATATAGGCCTATTTCTACTGTTACATAAACGGAAACCAGTTTTGCTTCAGACACACTCTACTTATAGTAAAAGGCAGGATTAAAATACCCTCCAGCAGAGTAAGAGAGAGATGTTTTTCAAGATATTCACAGATGTTGCTTTGGCTATTCTGTTCACATTTCTGTACTGTGTCGAGAATATTGTCAATATTTACAAGAGAAAAATTATGTCTCACCCAGCTGAAAACTCTTGAAGAATATATGTCTAGTTCTTTTGAAATCTGGTGCAACCCTTACGTCGTGAAATCGACGATTGAGGGACAGTTGCAATTTTTTTCAATATTTAATACCGTAGCTCTGGAGGTCACGAAGCACTAGCTAATTGCATATGTGTATTATTAACAACAAGGGCTGTTTGAGAAAACCCATCGTCTTTGGATCTTGATAATATTTGTACATCTGCTCAGTATCGAACGGCGTTCCCAGTGAAACTACTACTCTGTTCTTTTACAATGTATCACTGATTGCGTCTTAGTGGAGTGACTCGAATGTTAGGTTATGGGCGCATTCTCATAGATTTTAGATCGATCTTTCCCCATGGGGAGTCTCACTAGATAACTGTCAGATAATCCGGCTTAAATGTCCGTCCCGCCTTCTACAAGCTGTAAGGGGGTAATTAACTGTCGTGCCCGCTCGGCTGACAGCTATTTAGCGTGAACCCCCAGGGGGTTAGGTCGATCTAGTTGGAGCGATCTAATCTCTGGGAATGGGGTCTATAAGAACCTACTTTATTAACTGTTCTCGCAATGTTTTTTAAAAATATTATTATTTTGGGGGTGGGGGAGTTTCAGAATTGTGATTTGTCGATCTTTTTTGCTGTGCTGAATGTAATGAAGATACATGTAACAGAAATCATAGCGTTTTAGAATAAAATATACATGTATTCTTTAAAAATTCAAACATTGCACTTTATGCTATGTGTGGTTTACTCAATATCCAATATATGATGCACAAGAACTATGTCCTTACCGAAAAAGGGAAAACGTTGGTGAGAACTGTGGTGAAATAAAAAAAAATCTATTATTCAAAACTCATCGTTTCTATCGTTGGGTGGATAGTTAGATTATTGATTCGGAAAAAAGGATGCCCGTGTTAAGCGTTAAAGATTACATTACAATCCATTTTTCTAACAACAGTCTCATACGGTGTGATCCCGGATGCTAGCATCCACTAAACAAAATAAATGCATGACTTAGATATTTAAAAAATTAAACGAATTCCATGATTGTGAAATATTAACCTATTGATATTGCAATTTGAACATTAGTATTTAGTTTCAGCTTCATGGTAAAACTTTCAGAATATGACCCAAGCCGCGACCTTTGTTATTTCTGTCTGTAATTCAACCACGGGCGTTATAACTTATTTTATTCTATAATTCACAACTGACTCATACAATCAAATGCTTCTCATGACATTTCCCTTTGATTATTTCAGGAGACATGCGGCAGAGCAAGTAAGTTTAATTTATCACCGAATGTCAGATCGTTGCAAATAGTTCATTTCATTGTTTTAACTTTCGTAAGTGCATGTCCATTTAAAAATTAAAGTCCCAATAAGTTAGTTTAAACAGACAGGCGGAACTCGCCTCAATATTTCAGCTGCGTGGGCTTAAGTGAAGATATTCAGGTTAACGTTCAGGATTTCATACCCAATTATAACATTATTATAAAGATGTTACATATGAAAGTATTTTATTGTAATGTGTGTTGTCATAGGGTATAAATCGATTGATTATGAAAAATCTTTTTAGAAAAGTTTTTTAAATACATCTATTCATTTATGTATTTAGCAATACTTTTCTTAAAGCTATGATAAAAATCTAATTTTTTCAATTTTGATAGAAATTGGATTAGATTAAGGTAAGGAACGTCCATTTGTATATATACTCCAGTTATCATTTTTACAAAAAACGAGTGGCAGGTTTTCATTTTTAAGTAGAAAAATCTGTATGCAGGTTCCAGATAGGTGTATATTTTTGATTTTTTTCATAATCTAATAGTGTGATATGAATGATGTTTTTTTTTTCAAATTTAGCCAAGAGCCCGTGTGACATCAACAATGGTCAGTGCAGTGACAGGTGTGTCCCGTACCCAAATTACCAAATACAATACGACAATCTTCCTTCTGGATACTACTGCGCATGTCCTAGAGGGAAAGAAACATTCAGAGGGACTCTTTGTTTGCGTAAGTATAGAAATGTGTGTGTGTGGTGGGGGGGGGGGATGGGGGGTAAGCGAGAGTGTGGGTGAGTGGGTGAGTGGGTGTGTGGGTCGGTTCGTTTGGTGAGCTGATTCTAGAATTAATTTTATTTGAAGTACAAAAACGAAAATATTGAAGTATGATTACATACAGTTGTAGGACGATTAAATGAAATGTTAAAGCCCAAGTAGTTTTGACACAAACCCTAGGCATTTTAAAATATTATCTTATAGTTTCTCTTTTTTACAGTACGAAACCATCCCTGTTTTGGTTACCGCCATTGCAGAAGCTCTGAAAAATGTGTCCCCACGGGAAGCCGAGACGGATACGGTTACAGGTGCGACTGTAGGGAGGGCTATATTCCCAGAGAAAATGGACGCGGATGCCGGCGTGAGTGTTATGTGCCGTGTTCAAAGTATCATATTTCACGTTCAACTGTGTTTGTGTTCCACTGGGGAATACAGGATTCTGTTCTCCCCCCCCCCCCCCCCCCCCCCCCCCCCCCCCCCCCCCCCCCCCC